CACTCAGAAAATCTTTTGGCCTTCATTATGAGAGACTAGACAATCCCAACAGTTCCCTTCTGACCTGACTGCAAGTTTTTTGGCTTAAGTTCTTCTGAGCCTTAACAGATGCATTTAAAGCCCCAACACACACACGTATAACCAGAATGACCCACATACTGGAATTCAAACCACGCTTCTGGTTAGAACAACAACCACAGAGCAAAACTCCTACTAAACAGACTGGGAAACATATTTAACTCGTACTGATTTTACATCTGGCTTTGCTCAGTCATGGGGACTAGAAGCTACCAAAGAAACTCTTCTGCTTTCCAAGCTAAACTGGAGCAGAATGTCAGCCTTGTGAAGAGGAGACAGAGGGATCGCATGATTCCCCGCAATGCCTTGTAGGGACCTGGCGTTACACTGCAACGACATAACCATCTCAAAAGTAGTCCAGACAGGCTGGTTCCAAATGGAGCCCGGAGCTGGGAGTATTAATTATTACTCTAACCTCTATCATTTAAACACTTGAGAGGAAGCAATCCTGGCTTGCATCTTTCCAGGGTGTTCACAGGGGTTACAGCTGCAGTAAAGGAGCCAGACTGCTGGGAGCTGTGGTGGTTCACATTGTTTCTTAGGAAACATATCCAAATCAGTCCTGGATGACACCCAGATTGCAGGTTCCCTGCATGGAGGACTGCAAGGGTAAGGTCTGCAGTGTTTGCACTTTCCCCGTGTCTGCTATGTCAAATATACTTTGGTTTAAGGGTAGAAGAGATTTGTCCAAGTGCCAAAGCTGCACAACCACAAATCAGAATAATCAAGCTGCATTTTCGGCTTCTTATAGGCCCTTACTGGATACGAGGGACAAATGCAAGGCAAGGCACAGTGTTTCTAGAGTTCTCTTTGCCACAGTTTTCGAACAGACACAAAACTTGTCAGAAATTTTAAAGCAAATCATGACTTAATAAAGACTCCACAACAGAAATCTAATCACAGGAAAAAGTGCTGTCCATGCAGGTTCCCAGCCCAAGTCTCGTGGCTGGAGCAGAGCAGTTTTCCCTGCAGGTGACAAAATGCAGGGCTAGCCTGGGGCTAGCTGTGCCCTGCAAGGTGTAATGTCTCCGTGTGGCCCAAACACAGTGAGTAGGGAATCCCTTTTACGCACTCACCAGCCTGACAATAAACTGTACCACAGCATGGTTTGAAATCCCTCTTTTAGACAGTTATGAGGGGAAAGGCTACTTCTCACAGCATTGACAAATCCTCACAGGGCCTGGCCCTGCCTAAGCCATATCAGGGGCTCCTTACTGCCTCGGGGGACAGCCACGGATACTTCCTTCACAGCCTCCCACGCAACACAGCTCTCGTCCTGTCAGTCACACCCGCACTCACTCACACAGCCCCTCTGCTTGCCTGCCTCCACCTCATTTCTGCCTCCTTTACTGAACCGATCAGATTTCTCATGTGTACAGGGCTCACACACGCTTTAAAGAGCACCTGCTTCCTCTGACAAGCCTGTGCACTCTTTCCAAGCTCTAATATTCCCCTTTTACTTGAACAGACTGGCTTGAATGCAGTTTAACCATTCAAAGCTGAAGCTCCCATGGGCACCAACAGGCAAGCAGACCTCCCACTTAGTTTTCCTGCCACATGGCAGCAAAGAGACCTTCTCCTTCAATAGGGTCGGGTGGATATCTGCACACTGCCGACATGGGTGTGAGCTGCAGGGGACCAGGTGCACAGCAGACTGGGGGATCTTCGGCAGAGTCCTGTGGTCCATATTTGCCACGTCTGCATCACAAGCACAGGGTCGTGGCTGCTTTGAGACTTAGAAACAACAAGCCCTGGCTACTACAATTCCACAAGCTCTATTTCCTGGGCGACACTTAAATCACACATTCAAGTGCAGAGATGGCATTCCAAAACTGATATGACACAAATGCAGGTGATCAGAAGAAAGAAGCAGAGGAGGCACAGGCAACAACCATCATTAGAGAGCCAGCATAATTAAGAGAATGCATGTTACACTTGTGAGGAATGAGGAAATCAGAGACCCCCAAAAGAGTCACCTGAAAGCCACAACCATTGCAAACAAAGGGGAAACAAGCCAGGAGGGAGAGACAGAAAGGCCAGACTGAAAAGGAAGGTTAGGAAATGGCAATACTCTTCCTATTCATGCATCATGCTGCATCTCTGGGAAGCGGGAAGAGAGTGGGCAAAAATATGTTCTCACCTGCAGGGTAACTAGAGAGACAAATCCACCTAAAACAATCCCACCAGGCTTCCACTGGGGATTAATTAGCCCTTCAAGCAGGGCCAACTTCTAGCAGAGCATCTTCACGGAGCACGCTGCAGACTGCCGTACTTCAGACGGTCACAGAGAAGGGAGTGCAAAGACACAAAAGGAGGACTGTGGAAGGGGCAGGAGCAGAGGGCAGCCCAGACCGGCTGAGAGGAAGCCCAGATGAATGCAGAAAGGCAAGAAGGGAGGTGAATGAGCAAGAGGTGATGAATGGTAGGGAGGGCATGGAAGTTCTACACAGGGCAGAGAGCAAAGACAGAATGGGGAAGACTGAAAGATGCCGCTTGAATAGGGAGGAGAAATGAGGCAGAGAGAGAGCTGAGAGGCACAAAGTGAAACAGTGCAGGCAGAATAGCTTCCCACATGGACTTGACAAGGCCTTAGAGAGAGAGACACAAGTAACACAGCATGAACTTTAATCCAGGAGCAGAAAAGCTGCCTGGAGCAGACAGTGTTACCGTCGTCTGTCCCTGTATAATCCCTCCAACATCGGGCACCTTCTTTGCTCTCAGTCGACAAATTCTCATGAACCTAGGGCAACTCGAACAGCAGCCACTAAAGGCCAGAGGACCCCCATCAAAGGGAGCTGTAGCAAAACTGAGCCAGTGACATGGAAACAGCTGATGGGATAAAGCACCAAGATAATTACAAGCAGCAGCCTAAGAGATGCAAACGTAACACTACCCTAAAGGTGGGACAAGATGTAGTTTATATGTATGACATAGAAACATTGTTTATCATCAGTGTTATTTGCAGGGCATTCCCATTTCTAAAGCTAGGATAACTTTTTCAAAACAAAACTTTTCCAAGTAAAAACTTGGAGATTTCAGTCATGCCAAGACTTTCCTGTGAATTTGCCTTAGCTTTGAACATTTGATAGTTTAGAAGAAGTTCCCTCAGATTCTACAAGGCCAAAACACTGGGCAACACCATTTTCAAAATGTTTCATTAGAAAATTGCATTTATGTTTATGTTACGAGTGCCCAGATGACTCGGCTCAAGTCAAATTAAATATTTTGCTCAAAGGGAAACAAAATGCATTTCTCCAATCTTTTGGGGAACTGCAAACAAAACTCTACATAGCATTATTCACCCACCTCCACCCTTTTCACAGCTGGGGAAAATAAAGCATTTAGAAAGGACACATCTTTTTACTTGAACCTCACTGGCAGAGCTGAAAACTGGATACACTCCCATCCCTTTTAGGTGTGCAGGCTTAGATAGGCCAAGGTATCTGTTATCCTCCTAGGTCTATCAGTCACCCCCTACATGATCCCATGCCAAATCTAATTTTCCCAATTGCAAAGCAAAAGACACAGTGACTCACTCTAAAAGGGATAGTGTAAGGTCTTAAATCATAGCCCTTCACTTCATGCTCAGAAAATCTTTCGTATTTGTCAGGAACAACCATTTAAAAGCTAATTCAGTGTCTGGAGCTCATGTTTTGCTTGCTCATAAATAGACTCCACTGTCACACAAGCTAAAATGAGAGGTCATAGAAACCCAGTAAAAGTTAGGACGCAGCCCTCAAAAACAAACACAATGGAAAGGAAAACAAATTTAAATCTAAGATTTGACCCTACTTTGCTTTTTCAGCACATCAGGGAAGTCAAACATACAAACTGGCTTTTAAAGTGTTGCTAGAGGAACCATGAGGGGCCCATCTGTGCCTCAACTTGAGACTGGTTCTGGCCCCTTCTTTTTTGATGTTTCTTGCACCAAGCAAACATAACAATATCAATGCAGTTAATTTCAGGCAAAAAAATGTGAGTGTCCCCAAGTCAGAGCACAAGCAGCAACTCATCTGAGAAAAGACACGAGGATTTCTCCCCCACCCCTCCCTGCCCTAATGAAATAGCAAAGGAATTCCTGAGAAATCTGGGCTGGATCATCAATCCCTTTCAGAGAGGTCCAAAAATATAGGACATAGACTTGGGATCTGGCCATTAGCAATCAGGTCTCTGGCACACAGTGTATTTTGAACTGGTAATTTGTGCTCTTTATGATTCACAGTGGTAACACTGCCATTGGCTCAGTACACAGAGTTCCCCTTTATGAACTGGGAACTCAAGGCAGAGAGGTGAAGTAATTCACCCAAGGATGCAAGAGTCTTAAAATACTACTACAGTTGAGATGAGCTGCCTATGCTCCAGCCACCTCCATGAAGCACTCCTACACTGCCACCTAATAACTGACTAGTAAAACCAGGAAATTGCCAAATACTAGGAGGGGATTTTTAAGGAGGGGTTAAGATAGAGTAAAAGTCAAAGCACCCCCAGGAAGTACGCTAAGCTTGGTGATACCCACAAGCAACAAGAAAAGAAGTCCAAGTGTGAGAGTCTCTCCTGGAAGCAGCAGGGAGATGAAGCGATGGATGTGTGTTTGCACAGGCATACGCGCACACACAGCGCTGGCAGAGGGACTGTTAAGGGTCTCCAGAAAGGCTGCTCTGCCAAAGCTGACAAGCTTGAACATTGCAAATTCACAGACCAGTTGAGCCCATGAAGAACCATTACTGCAAATAGAAGAGTGTCTTGCTTTTCCATCTGCCAACCTGGGCATAAGCAGATCATGTTACATATGGCACTGGGGGGGAAGGGAAAGAGAATATGAATAAATCTCAATTCAGTGAAAGGAGTGCGAGCTGTGCAGCTGCTGCAGCGAGAGCAAGCCCTAACAGCACTAGCTATTGCTTTGGGTCAAGAGATCATACCATTTCAGCCTGCTTCCTGACTTGTGCTTCATCCCAGCTGCTTTCCTCTCCCTTTAGTGCCTGCCTGCAGGAACAGCTAGCTCTCTGGAAGAAATCCAAACACAAGGAGGAGAGGTTACATGTGCCTGAGGGAAGTGACAACACAAGGCAGGTCACTGCTTAGTCTAAAAGCATTCAAGCAGGGTCAACACCTACTAAAAATAAATACATAAATACACACACACACACTATACAGGAGAAGGATTTACTCAGATGGGGCAGCCAGGAGCTCAGGCATGCTTGGCGCTCCTTGAATCTGCATCTCTGGGAAACTGGCAGCTATTACAACTGAATCGGGCAGATTTGTGCTGCCAGCAGCTGGGAGCTGACAAGTCATCCTCCTTCCAGGAAGGGATGCTGTAGCACCCATGCTGTTAGGGACCAAAACTGTCACTCCCTCCCCATCCCACACCCAGCCTGGGAACTCTAGTTCTTTTCTGCTCCCCAAATCTAAGTGTTCCATATCAGACAGCCAAGGCAAAGCCACTACCACAGGCTGGTCAATCTTCTTATGCAAATGAACTCAGGGTAATTGGGACAGTTACAATGAATCCCTGACAATGTTTGCCTTTGTGCACACCAGTGGTAAATATAGACTGAGCTGCTTTCTAAGGATGGGGGGTGAGGGGAGAGCTGTGCTGAGGGACAGCATCTCAGCTTCTCAGAGGGATGATAAGGAAGTAAGCACTGTTTAAATGCTCTCAGAAGTGTGGAGCTGATGGGCAAGGAAGGAGGCAGATGCTGCAAATAAAAGTCACTGGCTGGAAGTCTCAAAAATATTCAGGGAAGCATAGCCACTGTGGCAGGTCTGTGGAGCTGTCTCCCCGCATACAACCTTCATTCTACAGAGAGAAAACTTCCACAGCATTCATCCAGCTAAGGATCTCAGCCCACAGGATCCAGACACCCAAGAAGAGCTCCCACCAGAGCCAAGACTGGACATAGTACAAACACCCCACCCAGAGCAATTGCTGGCAGTCTCTAGGCTGCAAGCACACAGTGGCTGGCTCTGGCTCTGGCTCAGTCACTCCTGCACTGGCAGCTTTGCCTCTTGGTTATCTCAGCACACTTCAGCCCCATGAATCTCATATATATGCTCTACTTTTGTTGTAGCCCTCCAGGGCCCGTGCAGCAGCCGTGGAAGAAACCTAAACAAAAAGCAATCGCCCCCTGAAATCCTGTCATGCAAACAAGACTCTTCCCACCCATCGCCACAAGGACTGAATGGCGAGGGACTGAACACCCCCCGCCCGCCCCTGCCTGGTGGTCTTTTTGTCTCATGACCTTCCCCACACAAACACAACCCCACAACAATCAGACAGGCAACATAATGCGCCAGCGCCGGCTTTCCCAGCCCTTCAAGGCGAGCTGGGGAGGGAAGGGGGGAGAGCTGGGGAGAGCTGAAAGGATTTGGGGATGAAGAACAGATAGGATGGGCAAGGAAATACCAAGCAGTGTTTTACTTTCTACTTGCACAGTCCCACGAGCCAAAATAAAAATAGTTTTAATGAAAGAAACAAAAGAAATGTTATCTTCAATGGCTTAAAGTGACATGGGAATATCAGCCAGTGGGATTTTCATAAGAAAAACCAAAAAATAAATCCAACAATGCTTCTAAACCCTGTGAACATCTTTTAACATTCCCTCCAAGAAGCCCACAAAATTGAGCCCTTTGGTGCAAACTCTGCTGGTTTTACTTGGTTATCTTTGAGATTTAAAGTCTGAGACAGATTAGATATAAAAGTTTCCCTTTAGACTGGGAGAAGGGACAAGACTTTTTTTGCAACAGCTGTAGCTGTTAGACAGCATCAACACACATGGAAACCCTCCCTGGTGTGATAGCTTCAAAGCACAGAAAGTTTCTGCCAGTCTGTCCAAACTATGGAAAAACAGAGTCATCACCTGTGCTACTGGCAGCAAGGAGTAAATGTGCCTCCACACCCCAGATTGTCCTTGCAAGGTAACAGATACCCCTTGGTTACTGCAGGACACATACCACCTTTGGGAAAGAGCAAAAAGGGTCTCCAAGGACTTGTTAGGAGCAGGTCAGGAGACCAATGAGGTAAGGGGAAACTCCTACCTTCTGAAATGCCAAGGGATTCTTCCCTGCTCCCCGTGCACGTACAGGAAAAAATACAGACTCCACAGGAAAGCAAACCAAGTAAAGCAAAAAGAAATATCATCTCTCAGGGCCTGGATTCAGTGAGCTTAGCAGGGCCCTCGGCTATGCTTCAGGGCACTGGAAATACATACTAAATACCTTTACAAGGAAAGGAGGCCGTGCTTTTGCCAAAAGCTAAGATCTGTGTCCCATGAAATCCTGGCAGCTGAGGCAGTAACGGAAAGCAAAGCTACGGGAAAGCATTTATGTGATTTACAGACACATTAGCCACCCAGGGAGCATGATACAGTAAGAAATGACATCTCAACTCCTACCGCTAGCACCCCCCACAATGCTGTTATTGTTATGCATATCCTTGATTAAAGCACTGCGATTGCACAGTGGAAACCACCTGATGAGCCACCTATGAAATCACCTCCATGGGATGGTGCAGCTGTAAATGATGTAAAGAGACTGAAAGTCTTGAAAAAGGCCGCATGTAGCAGCTGGGTACAGGAGGCCTCTCCCAAATCCAGCACACAGTGCACCAGGCCACATCTGGCCAGCTGGCCCTGGTGAGGGGGCACGGAGCTGCAGCTAACTCTTGCCTATGTCCTGACATGAACTGGAGTAACTGGAAGAGCAGCAGCACTGAGCCCACACACCATTGGCAAACTTCCCACAGCAAGGATACTGTCTCCTGTCAATCCACTCCAGCCTTAATCCTCTGCGGAAAGATCCCATCAGCACTGTGCTAAGAGGCAATCTTTCAAGCCAGACGCTAACAATTAACGGTAGCAAAGATGAGGGAGGAAGGGACAGATGGAGAACAGATATAACCAGGCTCTGCTCATCACATTGAGCGACTTGGAGGAGCTGGACAGGAGATACACAGGCAAGATTTTTAGCCTTGCTCAGCCCTGCAGTAAAGTACTATACATAAGCATGCATGGGACAGCAAATCTATTGCACCCCCAGAGACAGATGTAAGCCAGTGACAGAGTCAGTCACGGTGCTTGTTCTCACTAGAAAGGAAGTAGCTGTGGCCCAGCTGTGAAGCTGCTTTGGGCTCTGCAGTATTTCTGTCCCATGTAGGATAGGCACAAACCTCCTGCTGGTTTGAGGATTTACACCCTGAGTCTCGGTATTTCCCCAGCATGGAGGGAAAACTAGAATTTTGACTCAGCTCATTCCATGGACAAAGATTTCAGCAGACTCCCTCTTCAGAAATGAGATTACCCAGGCAATAGCAAGATCTTCACACAGTTACTGTGTAAGTTAGCAAAATAACTGGGTTAACTGGAAGCTGGCCATCAGCTTCTTCACCTGTCAACCAAGGGAGGGAACACAGCTAGAAAGCAAGCCAGTCCAACTCCCATGGCTGTCTTTAACACAGAGCACACTCTTCCCTTAGCATTCCTATGCTAGAAAAATCTCACTGCATAGATAACTGCTTGTTGTAGTAAGTAGGGAAGTACAACAGACTGGGTTGCTTAGGTGAGATTAATTCCTGCCCTATTGCATAAAATAATTAACTTTATGGCAATTAAAATTATATGGCCATTTTAATTGACCAGTGTTGCTTGCTCCACTTCTCACCTCTACAGAGTTCAGAGGCAGCTAAAGTAAAAACAATTTCAGAAACTGCCAGCTGGTACCACCATAAGAAACAGGTCCTGGTGAACAGCTTCTCCATTCACTCGTCTCTTCTCAGACCTTGCGGACCTGGTCTCAGACAAGCTGAAAGCGAGAATCCCTACTATACCAAGGAAACGGGACAGTCTAGCTAACTTTGATCGGGGGGGAGGCTGATGGAGAAGGGGGGAAATTTCTTAAGGTCTTTTTCAGTCCTATACATCTTACCATTCTTTTACCTTTGAGCCATATGAGCTGGCTGCTGTGTGTGGAGCTGTGTGCTGCAGCCCAGCCCAAGCAAAGGCGGCCAGAGCTCTCTGACAAGGAGCTGGTGGTTAAAGTGGCCTGGCCGAAGCATTCACAGTGCAATGCTGCCTTCCGCAGCCCCAAAGAGTGACTGATACCCAAAGATGCCAAATACCTTCAGCTGCCACTGAATTCACTGACTTAAGACTCCCAAGAACCCTGGACGCTATTTGAGAGACCAAGCCTCCAGAAGAAAAGCAGCTGGGTTTTGCCTGCATACTTGCCTGATGTCCTTCAAGCAAACACAGCAGCTTTTTTGTAAGTTGAAAGATGGGCTTATACCAACCCATAGCAGACTGCAAGTCCCTGCAATCACAACTAGCTAGCTTCAGAGGCAAGACATCATAACCAAGCACCCCTACTTGCCTCTAGGATTTTTTTTTTTTTTTTCCCCCCGAACACCATAGTGTGGGGAAGAAGCACCATGAAGGTGCTACCCACACCCCCAGCCACCCCACACTGGTACTTCACCCTGGTTCTATTCCTGCTGCCCATCCAGCAAATCTGGTTCATTCGAGCGCCTTCTCAGAAACATACCACACCATGGTCATTTCCTCTGGCTGCAAAATGGAGACACTGTTCAGTCTAACCCTGGCATACATTCTTATGAGAACACATCAGTCAGAGATGGATGCAGTACCCGCAGAGCTGTACATTATTACAGTAACGATAGACTTTCCACAGCCAAACTCTGCTGCGTTGAAATCATCAGCATTTAGAGAGGCTGTGGCTAAGGAAGACACTAGCAAAGAATTTTTTCCCTGACATGAGAGACGCTGGCTGTTAGCAAGGCTTGGATCCAGCACTTCACCTTAGAAAAAATTAAAATAAACCATAGAAGCCTCAGGGAAAGAGATCATTTGAGCCTGGATATTCCTTTCTCCTTGGCACAACTTTATGGTGCATATCACAATATTCTCCCTGCATATTTGCTACTGCCCCTTCAGCCCAGGCTTGCATAAGTGATGAAGAGCTGAAGTATTTGTCTCACAGTGCTAAAGGG